TTCTGTGCTCAAATTCAAGATCTATTATGAGTAAAATTGACGAACTTGACGAAATCATGAAAGTGTATTCGATTGATATTACTGCAATTACTGAATCTTGGTTAAGTGAATCTATTAGTGATGATTATGTAACGTTGGTAGACTATAATATCTATCGATGTGACCGAGTTGGGCGATTAGGAGGTGGAATTTGTGCGTGGGTAAAGTCCGATATTCAACAACAACAAATTTCTCAACACCAGTGTGATGATTATGAGAGCATGTGGCTCAAAGTTCGCCCTAGAAAGCTCCCTCGTGGGTTTTCATCGATTTTAGTAGGAATTGTTTACCGACCAAATAATACGAAAGATGCAAATTTACTTGAACAGCATATAATAGAAGTCACAGACAATTATTTGATCCGTTACCCGGACGCCGGTGTTATTATTATGGGCGATTTTAATCGTATGAATGTAAAATCTATTGAAAGAAAGCTTCATTTAAAACAAGTTGTCAACTTTCCAACGCGTAATGACGTTACACTTGACCTTATTTTAACAAATATTTCAGAATTTTACACGGCACCTCAGCAACTCCCTCCGTTGGGGAGATCAGACCATTGTTCAATCTTATTTTCCCCCCAGGATTATATTGCTCCTAAGGGACTGAACAAGATTATCTATAGGCGGAAGCTAAATCGGGAAAATCTGCATAAGCTATCATTATGCTTGGAGAAACAGAACTGGTGTGAAGTTTACAGAGCTGACTCTGTTGTAAATAAGATGTCAGTGTTTTATAATAAAGTTATCACTGCTCTTGACAAGTTTATGCCCACCAAACCTTGCCGTTTAAACACCAACGACAAACCATGGATGACCAGTTACATCAAGAACCTCATTGTTAAACATCAACGTGCTTGGAAGAAAGGCAATGTCCCACTTCGTAACTTTTTCCGAAACAAAGTGTCTAAAGAGATTAAGCTCGCCATGGGCAATCATTATAGGTACAATCTAGATAACACAAGGTCCTGCAACCCCAGAAAATGGTGGAAGGGTGTTAAAGCAATAACTAGGCAGAAACCAAACAAGATTCCTGATAAGTTAAGATTTGGTGGTCATGAAGCAACTGGGGTTGAATTAACAGAACTAATTAATAGTGTGTTTCTGCGGATTGTTGACGAATATCAGCCCCTGGAACCAGTACCTACCCCTCCAGATCTTATAGTCCCTGATAATTTCTTGCTATCAACTTGTCAAGTGTCCCGAAAACTGTTCAACCTTAATGCCAAGAAGTCCTGTGGTCCTGAACCTATTCCTACCATTGTGTTAAAGAACTTGAGCACAATTTTAGCCCCACCTTTAACTAATATCTTTAATTCTTGTTTAATGGAAGGTCTTTTTCCATCTGAATGGAAGAGTGCTGATGTCTGCCCAGCCCCCAAGAAAACCAAAGTTGTTGATATAGAGAATGATTTAAGACCCATATCACTTACCTCACCAGTAGCGAAAGTCTACGAGAGTCATCTTAACTCACTACTACTTGATCATGTTGGTCCCAAATTGGATGATCGCCATTTCGGATCTGTTAAAGGTTCGTCCACAACCTGTGCATTGGTGGATCTCATGAACTTTCTATATTCCAATACCGACAACCCAAACGATGCAATTAGACTCTGTTTTTATGACTTGAGTAAAGGCTTTGATAGAGTGGATCATAACATCTTATTGGATATCCTGAGAGAATTGGATGTCCATCCTGTTCTAATTCAGAGTATTCGTAGTTTCTTGACAGGAAGGCACCAAAGAGTGTGTGTCAACGGTTTTTCATCTGAATGGAAACCGGTACCAGCTGGAATTCCGCAGGGTAGTGTTTTAGGACCTACTCTTTTTCTATTAATGGTAAACGCTCTGGCTTACAGAGAATCGTGGAGATGGAAGTATATGGACGACCTGACTATTAGTGAGACCCTTCATATTGTGAATAACTTGTGCTCTAGTAATCTCCAACAAAGCTCGAATGATATTTGTGAATTTGTCCACGAAAAGAAAATGATGCTTAACCCAGTAAAATGCAAAGAAATGTTTGTCTGTTTCAAAAGAGTACCTCCAGTGATTGATAATATTACCATCAACAACGTCCCATTTGAAAGGGTATCTACCTATAAATTACTTGGGGTTAATCTGTCATCAAATCTTAAGTGGAATGAGCATGTCAATATGATAACAAAGAAAGCTGCGAAGCGTATATACTCTGTGAGACTTCTGAAGAGGGCGGGCGTTGCAGATACGGACTTGGTCACTTTCTACTCAACGTGCGTAAGAACAGTATTTGAGTATGCTTGCCCTGCATGGTTTCACAGTACTACTGACTACCTTAGAGAACAAATTGAATCCATCCAACGCAGGATCATGCGAATAATTTTCCCTGATACTAGTTACCAAGACGCCTTAGATCTTGCTGGCATCCCTCGGCTATGTGTGAGATTGGAAGACCTATGTGACATGTTTTTCTCCAACATCATGAACGAAAACCATAAACTACATGACCTTTTACCACCTACTTACCAAACTCATTATAACACTAGGTCCCAGGCCTCTGGAATACAATTCCAGTTGCCAACATATAAAACTAATAGATCTTGAAACAATTTTATTGTCAAATCTGCTGTGAAATGGAACAATACGATTAGGAAGAATATAGGGAATGTATAGCCCTACATATTTTTAAAATGATGACTTTTTAGAATTTAGTGTAAATAATTCAGTATAAACAGTATTCTTAGTTTTGATGTTTGTAGTTGTTTCCCCTTTTACCTTTCTAATGCAACATTGTAATGGGTAAATTTAATTTAGTCTTTGACTACGATTT